TTCGGGTAGGCGTTGATCTGCCTCTCGTGAATAATATGCAGGTAGTTCTTAAGTTGAACCACAAAAGGAACCATTAGCTGATATTGAAATTGACTATGGACCTAATGTTTCAGGTGGAGTACAATATTATATTCTTGTATGTGACAAAGAACAATGTTCAACCAAGTCACCAAAAATATATGTGTATATAGACTTGGAAGCTTGTGCGCTTATTACTAGTTATGGAGATCCCTCCATTTTTCGAGAAGTTGTAGCTAGCCAGGAGAAAGATAATTGGGTGGATGTAATGATTGAGGAGATGGATTATTTGAAGAAAAATCAGACGTGAGAGCTTATTCAACTTCCTAAGGGGAAAAGGGTCATCAATTGTAAGTGGGTGTTCAAGAGAAAACCAACAATAATTAAAAAGAAAGGAAAATTTCAAGGCTCGTCTTGTAGTAAAGAGGTACTCACAATAGAAGGAAATTGACTATGATGAAATTTTCTCTTCGGTCGTCAAACATACTTCTATCAAGGTCATGTTAGGCTAGGTGACTAGCCAAGACATGCATTTAGAGCATATGGATGTAAAGACATTTTTCAATGTACTTTAGATGAGCAAATTTACATGGAGTAGCCATACGGGTTAATGACATTGGATGTGGCAGACTAGTTTGCAATTTAAAGAGAATTTTGTATGATTTAAAATAGTCTCCAAGGAAATGGTAGAAACACTTTGATTCTACATGCTTTCAATTGGCTACACAAGAAATGAGCATGATTGTTGTGTTTATGATATGAGCCTTGATGATGGATCTTTTATTTTTCTATTATTGTATGTTGATGATAATGTTGATTGTTGTTAATCATTTATATGATGTAAACAAACTGAAAATCATATTGGGAAATGAGTTATGCATAAAGATTTAGATGCTGCTGAGATTATTGGTATAAAAATTCACTAGGATAAGAGTGCTAAAAATCATGACTCTCTGATAAAAGCTATATTGAAAATGTGTTAGACAAGTTTTATATGAGTAATTTGAAGGATGTGAGTACTTCATTGATGAATTACTTTAAACTCTCATTGGATCAATGTCCAAAGACTGGTGTAGAAGCTGAGTATAGGTCAAAAATTTCCTTATGTGAGTGTTTTTTATTGTTTAATGTATGTTATGGTCTGACTAGACCATAATTGGCACAAGTTGTAAGTCAAATTTGTAGGTTTATGTTCAAACCGGGAAAGTGTCATTGAGAAGTGATCAAGTATATTTTCAAGTACATTTGTAGGGTACAACGAATCACAGTATCATGTTTAGTAGTGAATAGGAATTGTAGGATATGTTGATTTAGACTATGTTGGTGATATGGATGATACGAGATCCACAACAGAGTTTGTCTTTACTTTAGAAATAAGACATATTTGTTTAAAATAATCAAATCAATCCATAATGGTCATGCCGAAAATTGAAATATAATGCATGGCAATAAATGAGGCCGCTAAAAAAGTCGTATGGCTTATAAAATTGGTGAGAGAATTAGGTGTTAAACAAAGTGGTGTTCAGTAACATTTTAATAGTCAGAGTGTCATTTATTCGCCAAATAATCAATTGTATCATACCATGACCAAACATATCGATGTGAGATTTTATAATATCAAAGTTACTTGTATTTAGACATATATTACTTGAAAATATTGATACTTCAGAGAATTCAACTAATTTGTTGACTAAGTCAACTATTAGTGACAAGGCATTGCTTAAACATGTTACATGTTTCTTTGTATTAAGCATGAGGTGTACCTTTCTAATTGTATTGTGATCATCTTGTAGAAAATTACCTTTTTAGTTGTCGCAATGTGATCATCTTATAGAAAATTTTGTAGATTTTGATATTCGTGAAGGTGGTGATTTTAAATAAGACTTGTTATAAAAATTATTATGGATAGTGATAAATTATGGGAATTTCTTTGTACACTTCTAAGGGGTGGAGAAAACCCCTGAATTTCCGAAAATACCCTTTGAAAATGTAATTCTGAACGTATCCCAAGTCATGGTGTTTCGGATATACATCTACGAAAGCATCCAATATGATATTTTGGGGTAAATTCGGAAATGCACTTCCAAAAATACCATGTTTCTAGTGAAACGTTAAATTTAAACATACAGGTATATTTTCGGAAGTGCATTTCTGAAAATATGTGTGTTATACCACCTGCTGCATGAACTATTTCATTGTGTTCATTTGCTTCTCAAAACTCAAAACTTCCCCCAAAACTCAATCAATTTTTTGTCTCCAAAAGAAATTTCAAGTGGTTTATCATGTCAAAGAGAGCATAGAAAGTTGCAATTTAAGGTAAAAAAAATCATCATTTCATCTCTAAATTCCTTGCATTGATGTTGATTTTTGAGATCAAAATTGTGTCACTTCAAAAATGTATTTCTGAAACCCACCTAACATATTTCAGAAATATATTTCCGAAACTTCCCCTCTTACAGAAACATAATTATTAAGAATTTATATGTTTTTGTCCGTGTTAGATATGGTGCATCCCGACATGTTTCCCAAGGATATTTTGGACAACGTGAATAATGATGCTAAGCCATATGAGGTGAAGAACGACGTTTAATCGATTGTTGTCGACATAGATGTTGGACACCAATTTGTAAATGATCAAGTTTTCACTAATCAGCAACAATTTCTTGATTATGTCTTAATGAAAACTAGCAAACACAGCTTTGGTGTTGTAATTAGAAGGTTCGACAATGGCACTAGTAGAAGGCAAACATTTGTAACCATGAGATGCGAGAGAAGTGGAAATTATGTTTCAAAATTTCGGAATTTAAAACATGATGACACTGGATTGAGAAAATGTGAGTGTCCGTTCAAATTGAGCGGATCATGTAGGATAGATGATATGTACCGATCTCACGAGATATGGTTTTTCGAAGACTTTTTTTCCTCTACGAAGTCGCCCACCTCAAGACTCATTCGATCGCATCATATGTATTGTGTATCTTAGATCGCTCCATTTTGTTCAAGTATTTTTAAAGTCGGGGTGTCCTATTTTGGCTACGTCAGTGTAATGGACGACACATCATGCAGAAGAGGCGAAAACTTGATCGGATTATTTTTTAGAAAGGATGGTCGAATTCACAAAGTTGTCAAAACTTGAAAGAGAATCAAATAGAGAAAAGTCGAAGAAAGAACCAGTTTTAGATTTAAGCGGTAGCCATTCTTTCGATAAATTTTAGAATGCTATCGAACCATTTTTTGTATGTATTGTCGTGCACAATGTAATCGAATCATGTTTGAATGTATCTACATGATTCAATACATATATAATATATTTATTCACCATTTTACCGATTTATACATTTTACCGATTTATACTTTTTCCGATTAAATTATGAATTTACCTTTGAATGATATTAATTTTGTCAACTTCTTATTTTGTTTCTATATAATTCGGAAATTCATTTTCGAATTATTTTAAATAAAACAATCAGGGAATGTTTCAGAAATACACTTCCGAAAACACCTTATTTTTTAAAATTTATAAGAGGTTGTTTCGAAAGTGTATTTTCGAAAAATGCTCTGACACAGGATAAGAATTTTTAGGACCACATTGTTCCAAAACTTTTATAAATAGGGTGTCCTAAACCTATTTTTCAAGGTCGAATATCGTTCACCGTCACTTGACACTGATGGAAAGGTCAAGTTCACCAAGTTTGAGCTGAAGACGGATGACGATTTACAGGTTATGTGGATACTTTTCGCTAATACTCTACTAAGGGTTTGATTGAGTTGGATGTAAAAATTCAGAGATCCGCTTAAGATGTTATGAAAATATTGTAATGTCCTCATTTTTCCGTTTATAATAATATGTAATGTTAAATTTATGTTTCAATATCTATGTAATTTCGACTTTCATTCTTTAATTTATATTATTGTTTATGTCATATTAATTTTGAGCTTATATAAAAATATCTAGGTTTCAAGGTTTGTGTTTTAGTTTCTCAGTGTTTCAATGTCAATGTTCCTGTGTTTTTGTTTTCAGTTAGTGTTTATTTCGTAAATATACTTTCAAAATAGTTCATTAGGTATATTCGAAAATACATTTCCAAATTCACCTAAAAAAAAGATATTCCGTAACTTCGAAGATGCATCTCCGAAATCACCTAAAAAATGAAATATAGTACATTCGAAAATACATCTTCAAATTCTGAGAGTAAAATTAAAATTTCATCAGAAATATCTAAAAAAGTGTAAGCACAAATAAATTCTCTATATTATTATGAATATATCTCATATTATATAGATTATTAGGCGTAGATAACTCGAGGTGAAGAGACTTTTCTTAGCACTATAACCCTATCAAATTATTCATTAGACACAAAAAAAAAACTATAATTATTCTAGTCGCAGAGGTAGACCTTGTATACTGATTATTGTTCTATTAGTTGTGCATAGAATCCCGGGTCATCATCAAGAGAAAATCTACCACCAAGCCCCACAAAAAGAGTTCTTCCCACTTTATCACATCTTCTGAAGAAGGAGATGTAGCAGGAATCCAAGTCACTTGATTTACACTTCAGTCTTAACAGGTAAGCTAATATTACCAAACCCTGAATTGTACACTTGGAATCTGATTTGTTTTTCAAAAAGTTAGTAACTTCCTAAGACTTAACAATTTTCGAGAACCAATTTTTAGAGAACAGTTTTCTTTATGTAAAGAGAACAACAATGTTTTGTCTTGTATACAGAAAATAATAGATAAATCAGTATACACGATCAATTGATGAACATATATAAAAGCTAATAAAACATACATTACCCCTGCCAAATTTCACAGCAAAAGTAAATCATACATTAAAAGGGGTAGAGAACAGTGTAAAAATAAACTATACAACAGAGAACAAATATGATTCTCTGCTGGCACAAATAGTCTCTTCAAAAAGATAGGGCAGCAGACAATCCATGATTCTTGTCAATTAAATTCTGATGGTAATGGAGATCACTCAGCAAACTGTGCGCCCATAGCACAAATGGGCAAGATAAAGGTTTTTTGACCATTTTTCCTGAACACAAGAACAACTTATAATGAGGGGCCCAAATTTGATAGTAACTTTAAGAAATTAGAGTGTCGTTCAACTTGCCCTACCTTTACATGAGCACTGGGGAATTGAGATGTACGCAGAGTTTCCTGAGTTTCATCACCAGGCCTGTTCCTCGGGATACTTAATATAAGCGCAGATTGATCCAATGTAGCCGCAGTTGCTGTAATCCTATAACCATTATCCCAGCGTTTGTGGATTCCTTCACTCGGATAGAGGAAATCCAGCTCCACCACCTACATTGAAAACATTAGTGATGGCAGAAATAGCAGTTATGGTGGCAGAAAATAGAATACAAATCAACAGCAAACCTGATCGCTGAATCCAGCATTGCGAGACATAACAATACCCCAGCGGTTTCCAGCAGTACCCATTGAGGTGACATGAAAACCTTCTTTCCACTTCTTGTTTATCCATTTGTAGGGAAAAGATTCACTTACTTTGTACGATTGTTGAGTGTACCTCGTACCTGCATAAATTAGATCAAAACCACAACAAAATCAGAGCAAACAACTTTGAATCATTATACAGATGCATTCAGAAATTCAGGACAGAAATGCATTCAGAAAATCAGAGCAAACAACTTTGAAACAATAATAGAAACTCAGTTTAAAAATCAAACAGAGCCAAGGACAGTGGACGCCATAAATAGAAAGGAAGCTGTGCACACCAGAGGTATGAAAAAAACCAAGAAAAACTGAGGAACTATGAGAGAAGAATTAGAGGCCAATGGTCTGGCTAGAGATATGATTTATGATAGAGCATTATGGCATCCTTTGATCTATGTAGCCAACCCTGCCTAGTGAGATAAGGCTTAGTTGTTGGTGATGTTGAAGTGCCACTCATTTAAGTACATACTGAAACTATTCGTCCCCAAAAGCAAGAATAGTTCTATGAGAAAAGGATAACAAATTCTAAAGAACTTCTCTAAAACGTTGGATAGCAACATATATAACCAGGAAAAGTAACAGCCAAATCACCGTTGCAAGAAGTAAGATCGTTAGTAATCAAACCTTTAGACATCACCACAACAGAGCTTCCATTATTGGCCCCTGCAATAGAAGTAATGTAGAAGTTCTTATCCCATTGTTCCAAGATCCATTCCTGTGAAGAAACAATGTCATATAGATAAGATTGATCACGTTAAATTATACTTAGAAAAAGAGCAAGGCATACACAGCACATTCCACCTTGTGTAAAAACAATGGTGATAACTTGTAAACTTGAGCGGTATAATTAGTTCCAGCATCCATGATAAGTGCCCATAGATTGGAACAACATGATACACAACTGATAAGAAGGTCATCTGCAATCCCTCTCTCAATATGCTGTGCTAATCTTCCATCAGCCACATTGTAATGATACCTACAAAGCAAAATGATTCAAGAGTCACAAGTAACTCAGAAAGATAATATCATAATCATGTTCACCTATTTGATTATTGGATTGAAGGAACTAGAAAGAATGAGTGCAGTGGTTTACCTTTGTTTCATCGGTTGTCTAGCATTGTAAACTGAAATCCATTGGGAAGCAGGAATCCCCGAACGAACCTTCTTTTTGGGCTGTTCGTCATCTGCATCAGCAGGTAATCTACCCCGCTTTTGCCCAACCTATCAAATTAGGTTTCAAGTAGACATACACACTTGTGATGAATACAACGGACAACCAGAAAAGCGAAAGAAAAATAAGCCAGAAACTTGAGTTCACATGCACTTGGAGACTACCTTTAGAGCGCCTTCGATATTAATTGGTCGCATTGCAGGATTAGGTCCAAGTATACCATCAAACAAGGATATTAGCTTGGAATAGTTGGGTTCTTCATCAAACTTCATGTTCACTACAGTCTCGAGAAATTGTTTAAAAGGAGCAGGGCAAAAGCAGCACAACATCTCGGCAGATGTTCCCATTTTCTTTTTGCAAACGAGGAAGGATTTACCATCACCCTAATAAACAAGGTAACAATTGAAACATAATGGGTAAAAGCATACAACTCGCACGGGATAGTACTAGGAAAGCATATACAAGTGTATATACCTGGAAACCTTGCCATGGCAATCGGCCCCTATGAAGGAAGATTAGTGTGTATGCAAGTGATTCAAGATCATCTCTTCTACTGGCAGTTCTTCCCAAATGAGCATGAACACTAGCGTATCGAACAGTCCCTCTACATAAAAATACAAGGGTTAAAAACATATAGATAACCATATAAAGGAGTAAAAAGCATTAATTATAAAAGTAAAAATTCAATGAGGTAAGAAAGAAGAAGTGAAATAAAGAAAACCTAAACATGTCAGGGCGTTGATCATATTCAGTATGCTTTCCACTTGATGAATCTTTCCACTTTGTTGCTGTGATTATTTGCATATGAATAAAATTTACATTGATATTATAAGATTGATAACTAAAATACACATTTATCATTGAATTGCATCCACTAACCTAAACCAAGATCAACAAGAAACAATTTCTTCTCCTGTGCTGTGTTGGGCTGACCTAGTAAAAAGTTCTCTGGTTTTACATCTCCGTGTACATAACTATATAGAACAAAAGGAACAAAAAAAGTATGTTTACAGTTTGGAATCAAGATATGTAAAAGTAAGTTAACTGTAAAACATTCTAAAATTTGTTAAGTAGGAAGAATGTATCAGGAAAAAGATGTACTGTCAACAGAAATGTTTGACCAGTAACTTACCCTTTTGCGTGCAACTTCTCAAGTATTGATAATGACTCAACAGCTATACATGAGACCATTTCAGGAGACATCCTAAATATTAATTGATAAAAAAGCAAAAAACAATAATAAGTTAAAGAACAAACAAGAAAATTAGTCACTGAAACAATTCAAATATAATCAACTCAGGCATTCAAAGTATCCACGAGGGGGTACAAAGGAATGAGAAAACGATTATAAAAGCAACAAAAAAAAAACGCAATTAACAGGAATAAAGGGAGAGGTTGAAACTGACTGCACAAATATTTCATCAAGGGCAAAAAAGAATAGACATTCAAAGCCAATTAAAGCATACAGTGAGCCAAACTACAACAGATATTCACAGAAGTAGTTCTTTATATTAAAAATGGAAATAATGATGTTGAGAAACTGAAGAACTGTGCTAAAAAGTATAATAAAACCAACATGTAAACTATTTGTCTCTTACGCGTTGCTTTTAATTTTTTTTATATATTCCCTTAACCATGTCCTTGAAAGAAAACAATGTTAAAAACGGTCAAATTGCTTCAATGTGAAACTTTAAAAAAGAAAACCTAAAAGCAAATAAAATCAATATATGAATATCCTTGATTTAAAACACATAGCAACCCTATAAACAAATTAAGAGCTACAATCAGGAAGCCAAGATACAGTTAAGCTTATACTCACGACTGGCCTGAGGTATTCCATACATCCCACAAACTTGGACCAAGAATGTCCATGACCTGCATATGGAGGATATAGTTGAATTGTTAAGTATGCGATAAGATAGCACAGTGTTTGTTGTATGGATTAGATCATACCATCACATAATATTCTCCTTGTCTTCCTTTATAGTGTACTTTAGGTATTCCATGACTACCACCAAGTGTGCTTTTGACAACATAAAAATCAAACTTTAACTATAGACTTAATCACAAAACACAGTTAAACAAGAAAGACAACCCCGATGCTATAAAGCTTTCACCATGGCATAGTCTATAGTAGGGTTGGACCCATTTTAGGTCTATTGTGTAGATGTATAAAAAGCAAAAGACTGAATACACGAGTCCAAGGCACACACCTATGATCTCCTAGTCAGATGACAACAACTAGAATAGTTGTGGCAAGGCTCTCTTTCACAATACATGAGCAAAAACCAAACAAGTTTACAAAATAATATAAAAAGAGGGTACCTACTTGTATACTTGCCACTCATAAGGAGGGCCATAGTTGCACCCTTTACTGTTTCTATGTTCAAATTTCAGAGCCACCTGAAAATGACAAATCCAAATCAACTCAATATGCCATATATATAAATCACAACTCAGAAGGCAACAAACCATATGTAAAAACAGAAACGAACCTCCACAGCTCCAGGAGCATTAGCACGCTCGCGGCGACCAACAAAAACTTGGCCAAATCCACCTTTACCAAGTTTCCTTTCTACCTTGTAGAGAGGCGATCCTCCTACTTGAACCTTAAAAATTGAAATTCAAAACTCATTAATAAAGTTAAACAAATCCATCAGTCTTTACAAACAAATCCACCAACACAATAACATCAACATAAAATGAAAATCGACACAAACCCTTTCTGGAAGAGGAGGAGAGTTGGCATCTTCTTCTGGAACAGCAGCAACACCTTTATCCTTATTAGCACTGACACCAACTCTTTCATCACCCATCACACCCACACCTTCTTCAACCACCAATAACTGTTGTGTCAACGGCTCAGATTTCTTGGCGACCAATCTAGTTCTTGGTCTACCCCTCCCCCTCGGCGCCGGCGTGTTTTTCTTAACCGGTGGTTCCGATTGTTTTTCGATTACGGGCGCTGCACGAGCACGTCGCACTCCACTACGAAGCTGAGGCATGATGTAAACCCATGCAATCGATTTGAAGCGCAAGAGACCTCGATCACCATGCGCTTTAGGAAAACAGCGACAAGTGGTGAATCATGAAAAAGAGAAGTTGAATCGATGAATAGAGATAGGGTTAGGGTTTGATGGTTGGGAGATACAACACGAACGAACTGAATGGGAAGTTGAAAAGAAGGTGAAGAAATAAGGCAGGCAAGAAGATCCCCTTGCTCATCAAATCACTCTAAATAACTTTCAACTTTCGAGATATTTTGTGAATTAACTACTAGGAAATTCATGCCTTTGTAACGATTCGGTTATAGATTGTTAAATTGTAATTCATATGGTTGAAAAAATTAAATTTGTTTTAGATTTAAATAGATTTGATTTAGATCTAAAACATAATATATTTGATTTAATACTAAAATAGATATTTTAGATTTTTATAGTTTTGAGTTTAGGGTGCAAGATAAATCTATAAATAGAGAGAGTAATCTCTATTTTGTAATCTAAGTCAATCAAGTCAATTAAGTTGTATTCACAGAATTTGGAGTTGCAAGTGAATAACAAAGTTTTCCACAGTTTGTGGGAGAGAGAGAAACTCTGCAGAAAATAATTATCTCTTTCTTTTCTTGTTTTTCTCATAATTCATTGTCATTGAAGTAGAAATCCATCATAGCTATTTTGTGGATTTCCAACATCTGGTATCAAGAGCTCGATTTTGATTCAAGGGAAGTATCAATCAAGAAAGATTGAAGAATTCACGATGGCGAATTGTGAGAATGCAAATTATCCAACAACTCTACCAATTCTGAAAGTAGACAACTATGAGAATTAGTGCAAACAGATGAAAGTGTTGTTCAAGTGTCAAGGGTTTTGGGACCTTGTAAAAGATGGAGTCGAAACGCTTGGAGAAAACGCTTCAGAAGAAGAAAAGAAGAAACACACAGAAATTGAGAAGCTGAGTTATAAAGCACTCTTTATAATTCATCAATGTGCGAGTCCATAAATTTTTGAAAAAGTAAGTGATTCAGAATTTGCAAAAGAAGCTTGGTATGTTTTTGAGAAGTCTTTTGATGGTGTAGAAAAGGTGAAAGAAGTGAGGTTACAAACTCACAAGAGAACGTATGAATTGCTTCAGATGGAAGATAGTGAAAGCATATCTGATTTCTTCACTATAGTTAAAAAACTAGTGAATCAAATCAAGGCACGTGGAGAAACATTAACAACAAGAGCTGTTATTTCGAAGATCTTGAGATCTTTGGCTCCTAAGTTCGACCATGTGGTGGTGGCGATAAAAGAGGGGAAAGACTTGTCGAAATTGACAAAGGAAGAGCTTCAAGAGACACTTGAATCTCATGAACAAAGAATGAACGAAAGAGTTGCAGGCAAATCGAAGAGTGATGTGGCTTTGCAGGCACATTCAGCAAAAGAAACCAAAGGCAAAGGAAAATGTTTCAACAAGGGTAGAGGTGGATACAACAAATCGAATGATAGAGGAAACCAGAACGAAGAAAACTTTTCGAATCAAAGAAAATCATACCAAGGAAACCAAAGAGGTGGTGTTGCAAATAGAGGAAGAAGTGGTGGTCAAAAACCTGATAAGAGTCACATTCAATGTTAGAATTGTCAGAAGTATGGTCACTATTCGAGTGATTGTCCAGAAAAGCGAAAGAATCAAGAAAGTGATGCAAAGCTTGCAAAACATGAAGAAGAAGAGATGATGTTGATGGTCACAACAAGAGATGAAGATAGATTTAAGGACCAATGATACTTGAACTCAGGATGCTCATCACATATGTCTGGAAGGAAAGATTGGTTTGTCAACATAAAGCCCTCAATGAAAAATATGGTAAAATTCGCAAATAACATTACCTTAGCATCTGAAGGTATTGGTGATATTATGATTATGAGGAAAGATGGTAAGAGGTCAGTAATTTCCGATGTGTTGTACATACCAGGCATGAAGAGCAACTTGCTCAGTATATGGCAGTTGGTCGAAAAGAATTATAAAGTGTCAATCGAAGATAAGGTGATGAGAGTCGTCGATGCAAATGGAAGATTAATCTTGAAGGCTCCTATGTCTCAGAATCGAACCTTCAAGATCGAACTAAATGTGATGGAGCACAAGTGTCTTTCGACTGCAGCTAGCAGAGATGAATGAATATGGCATTATCGACTAGGCCATCTCAACTTCAGAGACATCAGAGATTTGAAGAGAAGAAATATGGTTTCAGGATTGCCAGAAATCGATATTCTAAACGAGGTTTGTGAGGAATGTGTACAGGCGAAGCAACACAAAAATAGCTCCAGCAAGGATGCAGGAAGCAAGTCAAAGGCTATTCTTGAAGTCATATACTTTGATGTGTGTGGATCAATCCAGGTGGATTCGATGGGAGGTAACAAATACGTTGTTATATTCATAGATGATTTTAGTCGAAAGCTATAGACTTATCTGATCAAGAATAAAAGTGAAGTGATTGAAGTATTTGCCAAGTTTAAGTCTATGGTCGAAAGACAAAGTGGTCGAAAACTCAAAGTTTTGAGAACTGATGGTGGTGGAGAATATGTGTCGAAATACTTCGATAGGCTATGTGAAAAGGAAGGAATTGTACATGAGGTGGTGCCACCTTATACTCCACAACAAAATGGAATTGCAGAAAGGGAGAATCAAACCATCATGAATATGGTACGAAGTATGTTGAAAGGTAAGAATTTACCTAAAGAGTTTTGGGGTGAAGTTGTTTCGACTGCAACATACATTTTGAACAGATGTCCTACAAAGAAGCTAGAAGGAATTACTCCAGAAGAATGTTGATCTGGTGTGAAGTCTAGCTTGAGTCATCTGAAGGTATTTGGATCTATTGCACATAGACATGTGCCAGATCAATTGAGAAGAAAACTTGATGACAAGTCAAGTCAAATGATTATAGTTGGATATCATTCGACAGGAGGCTACAAGTTGTTTGATCCAGTGAAAAAGCAGATTATGATCAGTAGTGACGTGATCATAGATGAGTTTAAATAATGGAATTGGACTAAAAATATCAAGAAAGATTCAGTGGGAATCATATTCGAAGAGTCATAAACTTAAATCGAAAGAAAAGTTCGACAAGAGGAACCAGCACATATACCATGTACAAGCAGGCCTCAAAGAATAAGACGCATGCCTGCAAGATTGCAAGATTGTGTGGTTACATCAAATGATGTGATAGATGATGAAGGTAAGTTGGTACATTATGCTTTCTATGCAGATGTTGAACCTGATAATGCAGTTGAAGCATTGAAGGATTCAGAGTGGGTGAAAGCAATGAACGAAGAAGTGAAGTCTATCGAAGACAACAACACTTGGTCACTTGTTGAATTGCCTCAAGGAAAGAAGGCAATTGATGTCAAGTGGATATACAAAGTGAAAACGAATTCGAAAGGTGAAGTAACTCGACACAAAGCAAGGCTTGTGGCGAAAGGATTTCTACTGAAAGAAGGAATAGACTTCGATGAAGTTTTTGCACTTGTTGCTAGGATCGAAATAATCAGGTTGGTTGTTGGTCTAGCAGAAACAAACAGTTGCCACATATTTCAGATGGACATGAAGTGTGGATTCCTAAATGGACCCTTAGACGAAGAAGTTTATGTTAAATAACCAATTAGGTTTGTGAAACATGATGAAGAGAGAAAGGTGTACAGGCTGCATAAAGCCCTGTATGGATTGAAACAAGCTCCAAGAGCTTGGAATAATAAAATTGATAGTTTCCCAAGGGAGAAGGAATTTGTAAAGTGCACAACTGAATATGGGGTATATGTAAGAAGAATCAATAGTGAATTGCTTATACTGTGTCTCTATGTATATGATTTGTTGATAACATGCAGCTGCAAGAGTGAGATCGAAGACTTCAAAGGTGATCTCAACAAGGAATTTGAAATGTATGGTCTGGGTGAGATTTCATATTTCCTTGGCATCGAATTCTACAAGAGCAGTAGAGGTTTGATGATGCATCAAAGAACATATGGAGGAGAAATTCTCAAGAGGTTTGAGATGGAAGAATGTAACTCAACTTCGACACCTGCAAAACCAAGACTGCAACTGTCGAAAGATGCAGATGAAGATGATGTCGACCCAACCCAATACAAAAGAGGGATTATTGAGATACCTTTGTCATACAAGGCCTGACTTAGCATATAATGTAGGTATAGTAAGTAGATTCATGCAGAAGCCAAAGGTATCACATCTAGCAGTAGTGAAGAGGATATTGAGGTATCTCAAAGGAACTCTTGACAATGGCATTTTGTTTCCTGCAGTTGATAAAGGAAAAGAATGCAAGTTAGTGGGATACACTGATTCGAGTTGGTCTAGTGATGCTGAAGATCGGAAATCAACAATAGGATATGTGTTTATGCTAGGTGGTGCACCAGTTTCTTGGAGTTCAAGAAAGGAACCAGTAGTGGCATTATCATCATGCGAAGCAGAATACATAGTTGTTTCTCTTTGTGCATGTCAAGCAACTTGGATGGTGAACTTGGTCGAAGAGATAACAGGGAAAAACCATGAAGCAATTACCATGAAGATCGATAGCATGTCAGCTATCAATCTGGCGAAGAACCCAATAGCACATGGTCGAAGTAAGCACATCGAAATGAGGTTCCATTATCTACGAGAGCAGGTAGCTGATGGGAAGATGAATTTGAAACACTGTAAAACTAAGAATCAGATTGCAGACATCATGACGAAGGGAGTGCAAGTCAAAGTATTTAGAAGGCTAAGAATCATGATGAATATAGATAGTTTAGACACAATGAATTAGGTGGTGTGTTAAATTGTAATTCATAGTGTCGAAAAGATTAGATTTGTTTTAGATTTAAATAGATTTAATTTAGATCTAAAACATAATAAATTTGATTTAGTATCAAAATAGGTATTTTGGGCTTTTATAGTTTTGGGCTTAAGGTGCAAGCTAAATCTATAAATAGAGGGAGTAACCCTTATTTTATAATCAAGTCAATTAAGTTGTATTCAC